CAGTCATACTTGGATCCTTGGCACCTGAGTATGGATATAGAGTCATCAAGTAGATTTCAATGGTAATGTTTTTCACCTCCCCTAATTAACATGAAGCAAATTTTTATGCTTCTTCCTCAAATGTAACTCATTTTTTTAATTTGTTGATGTTTTTTGTGCATGTATTTCATACAGAACATCCCAAACAATCTTATTCATCCATATACCCACATCCCAAATGGCACCCTCCCATAGCCTCCCCCCTCCCCCCAAGATTGGATCTTTGAGCCAGGCATGGTGGCGCACACCTTTAGTCCCAGCACTTGGGAGGCAGAGGCAGGCGGATCTCTGTGAATTCAAGGCCAGCCTGGTCTACATAGTGAGTTCCAGGCCAGCTGGGATTACAGGAAGACCCTGTCTCAAAAAGACCAAAAAAAAATCAATAAATAAAGGAACCCAGATAGGCTCTTTGAACCTTTATTTTCCCATCTGTAAAACGTGGAGAACAATGACAATGACTCCCTCAGAACTAAAGGAATATTTGCTTAGGATTTTCAATGAAATTATGAAATGACCATATTTCATTACCCATGAACAGTGTTAACACAATGTTAAGTAAGGGCAGTGCCCTAGTTTCATTTCTTTTTCAAGACAGGGTCTTGCTGTAATCCCAGCTGGCCTGGAACTTGCTATGTAGACCAGGCTGACCTCAATCTTGCAGAGCTCTACCTGCCTCTGCATCTTGAGTGTTGGACTCAAAGATATGCACACTGTGCCCAACCTGTAACCTGGAATTATAAGCCATATAAACTTTTCCTCCCCTATGTTGCTTTCTGCTATTTTATCACCACAACAGAAATGAAAGCAGGCCAGGTATGCTGTTAAGCCCAGCACTTGAGAGGCAGAAGCAGGCAGATCTTTGGGAGATCAAGGCCAGCCTAGTCTGCATAATAAGTTGCAAGCCAGCCAGAGCTACAGAGAGCCTGTCTCAAAAAAAAAAAAATTCCAGCCAGGTGTGGTGGCACATGCCGTTAATTCCCACACACACACACTCGGGAGGCAGAGGCAGGTGGAGCTCTGTGAGTTCAAGGCCAGCCTGGTCTACCTATGTAATGAATTCCAGGCCTGCTGGGGCTGCAGGAAGACCCTGTCTCGAAAAAAAAAAAAAAAAAAAAAAAAAAAATTCCATGTTACAGTCAAAGCAGGAACTTAAAGCATCACTGCATCATATCCAAAGCCAAGAGCAGAGAGAGAATGAGCAATGGATGAATCCATCCGTGCTTGCTCTCAGCTGGTTTTCTCCTTTTTTTTTTTTTCTCTTTTTCAGACAGGGTCTCCCTGTAGCCCCAACTGGCCTGAAACTATGTAGACCAGGCTGGCCTTGAACTCACAGAGATCCGTCTGCCTCTGCCTCCCAAGTGCAGGGATCAAAGGCATGCGCCACCACGCCTGGCCGTTTTCTCCTCATACTGTTCAGGACTCCCTACCTTGGGCATGGTGCCACCTATAATGGGCTGGGTCTTCCTATATCAATTAACAAGCAAGACAGCCTCCCATAGAGATGCCCACAGGCCAACCTCATCTAGATAATTCCAAATTATGATTCTTCCCAGATAATTGTAGGTTGTGCCAAGTTAACAGTTAAAAGTAACCAGCACAGGCAGGTATGGTATGGGGACTCATGCCTGACATCCCAGCAAGCAGGAAGCTGAGGCAAGAGAACTGCCATGAGTTTGAGGCCAACCAGGGCTATATATTGAGGCTCTGTCCCAACAACAAAATAGCAATGAAAGTAATTTAGGGGCTGGAGAGATGGCTCGGCAGTCAAGAGCACTGTCTATTCTTGCAGAGGACCCAGGTTTAATTCCCAGCACCCACAAAGTGGCTAACAACCATCCATAACTCCAGTTCCAGAGGACTCCAATGCCCTCTTCTGGTATTGCACAACACAGGTACACTTACACACATGTAGGCAATACACTCATACATATAAAAATAATAATTTTTTTTTAAGTAATTCAGACTCTTCTATAGGACAAAGCACACAAACGCTATCTGCAGATGAGCATTGACCAGAGGAATAAGATGCTCAAAAACCTCCGCCAGACAAACTATGATGTCTTTGAGAAGACGTGCAGAGAGCTGGGGATTGAATACACCATTCCTCCTCTGCATTGCCATAGGGTCCATCGCCGCTTCCTGGCCAAGAAGGCTCTGTGCATTCAGGTACAGTCAACATGGCTGCTTTGCTTGCCTTACAGGACTGGGGTGCAGGGAACAGAAGGGAGTGGTCATCTATTTCAGATAGAGGCCTGGAACTGAGCCTCATAGAAGTCCCAGACCACCAACCCCATAGGAACATCTGAGGGATATAGTTCCCACAGACCTGCTCCAAACTTGATGTTTTACATAAAACTACAAAGTCATTTCCTACCCCATTTCAACCACCAGGTTTTCCAGACAGTGCAAAAGCTGAAGAAGCAAAGAAGGGCCTTAAAAGCTGCAGCAGCCACCGCCCAAGAACAAAACAACCAGGGGAGACCAGAGAACCCTTCCGAAGCTCTACCAGAGGGGTCCAAAGAAAGCCAATAAAGTCTCTTTTGTCTTGAAGAATAATAGAAGATGGTGTTCTTTTTAGGTTGAAGAAGAAATTTATATTTCATCAGCTCTCGGATCTCAGAGATGTCTGAAGCAGAGTTCCTGCCCTCACCCCAAAGACCACAGTCATAGAAACAAAGACCTGTCAGGTACTGTGTGTTTCAGGGAGGCGAAGCTGAGCACGCAGCAGCACAGTAGAAAGACGGCTGAGTGGGTGGGAAGGCCAACTGTAGGATCTGCATTCTAGACTGGGCCCTAAAGGATGAGAAGAGGTCACTGGGCAGAGAAGGAGGAATCATATCCAGGCAGAAGGAATTGCAAAGAAGTCTATCAAATACTAGAACGTCAGAGTTAAGGCTTCCGCATACGAACAAACACTCAGTCTATAACCCTGGAAAAAAGACTTTGGGCTTCATTCTGAGGAGGGCAGCCCCACAGAGAGAAAGATATGTTCAAAAAATGTCCCAAGAGCAGCTGGAAGGTTAAATCTGAGACCTGGACCAGAGCAGTTTGGGAATTATTAAGGCAAATGAAGCCTTGGGTATGAAATTGCCCCCAGATGCTGGACTGTGGTATGTTAATGACCATAATTCCCACACTTGGGAGGTGGAGACCAGGGGATAATGCAAGGTCATCCTTGGCTGCATAACTAGTTTGAGGTCAACCTGGGCTACATGAGACCCTGTCTCCAAAAGAGAAGTTGAGGCTGGAGAGATGGCTCAGCAGTTAAGAACACTGGCTGTTCTTGCAGAAGACCCGGGTTCAAATCCCAGCACCCACATTGCAGCTAACAATTGTCCATGACTCCAGTTCCAGGGGATCCAACCGCCTCTTCTGTCCTCTGCAGGCATTGCACAACATGGGTGCAGGCAATACATGCATACACATAAAATTTAAAAAAAAAAAAAAATCGCCGGGCGTGGTGGTATAGGCCTTTAATCCCAGCACTCGGGAGACAGAGGCAGGCGGATCTCTGTAAGTTCAAGGCCAGCCTGGGCTCTATAGTGAATTCTAGGCCAGTCAGTGCTACATAGCGAGACCCTGTGTTAAAAAAAAAAAAAAAATAACCAACCACTCCCCTA